CAGATAGTAGAATTTGGACTCTCACCCCCTCTGGTTCTTTCACTTGTGCCTCTTTCTTTAGCTCTCTCACACATTCTTCTTCTACAGGCTTGTCTTTCCCTGTTAAAGAGGTGTGGTGTCATCCTATACCTCCTAAGGTTGGGAGTTTCTGTTGGGAAGCCTTTATAGAAAGAGTTAACACAACAGATTTACTTGAAAGAAAAAGACCCAATAATTGTTTTTGTCCTCACTGGTGTGTCCTCTGTAAAGCTGATGGTGAGTCTAGATATCACTTACTAATCTCCTGTCGGTTCACTAACATCATTTGAGAGTGGTGTACTTCTTTGTTTGGGTGCAGATGGACCCCCCCTTCGAATGTGCAAAGCCTATTCACATGTATGCCGTTTCGGCCAACAAAAAGGGCCAAGTTTATGTGGAGGTGTATGAGGACTGCAGTCTGTTGGACTATTTGGGAAGAGAGAAATTCACAAATATTTACAGATAAGGAGAGAAGTTTGGAAGCAATGCTGGAGGTCATCCACATTAAGGTTATACACTGGCTGAAAACCTTGGTTCTGTTCGCAGAATTCTCAGTTGATGAACTGCAAAGAAAATGGAAGGTGATAGCATAACTTGTTCCAATGAGGAAGGCCTCAAATGTTTGTTGGATCCCCCCCACCCCATGACTTTGTTAAACTGAACTTTGATGGCAGCAACTTGGGCAATTCAGGGCCATCCGGAATAGGAGGAATAATAAGAGATGAACAAGGGAAACTATTAGCTATGTATTCTGGACCAGTTGGTGTGGGAGGTTCTTTGAGAGTTGAGATTCTTGCAGCTCTTGAAGGGGTACAAAGAATCAAAGATATGCATATTAATAAGTTGATCATAAGAGATTCCAAAGTGGTGGTAAACTGGCTGAAAAATGATAAGTCTTAGACTTCGGAAATACAATAATGAAAAGAGGAAATTCAAGTGGCTGACTAAGGACATGAAAATCCAATACAAATGGGTAAAAAGAAGTCGAACTCTTTGGTAGATGGTCTAGCTAGACAAGGGGTGAGCAGACATTCTATTTTTTGGGTTGTCTTGTAAGTTTTGTTCTTTTGATGCTTAATGGTTGTTCTTGGGAGCTAAGATTGTTTTGCCCCCTTGCCCTGTAATTTTCTCATATTTTTAATATTAATTCAATCCACAATTATTGATAAAAAAAAATCCTATTAATCATTCAGAGCCATTGTTTCAGCCTTTCAGGTCTCATGTGATTTGTACAACAATTGACAGAGGGATGCTACCTTTTCTTGTCCAAGTTGGACAGTCCAACCTTGTCAGTTGTCACTTAGGGTGTCTGTGTGTGAACTATTGGATACTTGGCAAGTTGGACAGTCCAACCTTGTCATTTTTGGATGCATGTGTATCTTATGGATCAATAACACTTTAAAAAAACCTGGACAAACACCCTAACGTGCTGTTTCTGGTGGCTGGGGCCCTCTTGCGCCCCCCTTGGTTCCACCCCCTGAACGGGGCTCATATATAGGTGGTGCTTGATGATGTGAATGGTTTTATTTTATTTCCCTGATGTGGCACTTTTCATTTTGAGAAACAAAAGCATTCAATAAACCAAACACAACCATAACATTACTAGGGCAGAGTGGGAACCCAGAAATGAAACTGATATCTACATGTACTAGAAGCCTATAAAACAGCTAATCAGCTTTATTATAGCTCTGGAAGCTGAGTTAAAAATAAAGCAGTTTGCTATCTCCAAATGAAAGCAGAAAAAAAAAACTGCTTTTATTTCCTGGGGAGAAATGAATTTCACAAGATAAATATTCTTATACTAGATCTCATAGCTTGAGATATAATTCTATTTATATTTCTACACTTTACATTTTACTTTATTATTGTTCTCAATGGGTTAATGTTAAGTCGATTAATTAAATGGTGAAGATTGACTTCACAATCATCAGAGGATGTGATATAAAACTATAAAGTATAAACCTGAGCTGAACTTAAAACAGAAAGAAAACCTTCATTTGTAGGCTTGAAAGCTTCCCTCCTTTTGAATTTTGATTAATCAATAATCAATTTTACTCATCCGAAGAGTACTACTAAAATTGTCACCAGTACCATCATTTCTAGTTGGTCCCTATCATCTGAGCTATTGCGAACATGTTTTGTATGATCCCAAGTGGCACTGCACTTTTTATGGGCCGGGGGCACTAGGAAACCAGGACCCATCAATTTCCTATACTATATAATACCCTTGTCTTGATTTTCGTGCAGCTTATAAGAGTTTTCTTTTTCAAATAGGTTATAAGAGCTAAATCATAGTATTTTGATAGCATCATTATATCGGCTAATGTTTATAAACAGTAATTTTTCAAATATTTCAATAGTTAAATGAATTAAGGCATTCAACGACAGTATCTCAATATCTTTTTATTCCTTTTTTTTTTTTTTTTTTCTTTTTGTGCTTTTACCCTTTAAAAAAGCTTGTCGAACAATTACAATCAGTCTTTAAACATGATTTCCAATGCATTTCTAGAAAAAAATTATTAATTATTATTGTTATTGCAAGTTATGGTAAGAGATAATGCATGAATTGAAATAGTTGTGTCCAATCCAGCAAAACAAACCAAAATGGTGGGTCCTGACTCCTGAATCGTAATACTTTGAACACAACACGTGGCAAGTTACAATAGCCTCAGAATACAATTATTCGTACAGAGTTCGGAGTTAGCAAAATGATTGTTTTGTACCACTATTTAACATCCAATCTGGCAATCCACATGAGAAAGAGCTCAAGTTAGCTGTGTCATTTCTGGGACACTTCGTATTCAATCTTTGAAAATTGCACGCTTCAACTGCTTGAATTGCAAGCCATAAGACCATGATTTCCGTCAAACACGTTGCCAATTTGAAGAGTTCATTATCTGTTAGCTTGCAAAATTTTCTCAAAGCCTCATCTCTTCTGCCTCTAAAGTCACAATCTAGAAGATTGTTCACGGCGTCATTCGACACGTAACAAATCGAATTGGTCTCTTAATCTAATGAAAATGCTTCTCATGTCAAACTTTGAGTAGGACTCATAACTCAAATCAGAACTGTATCAAATGTAAAATTGAAAGGCTCCTTGGATCATTCCCATCCCCAAGCCGAGTTGGATCTATTCCCAACAGAGTGCACTCCTTGTACTGACCTCACAACATGTCCTGACCGCATATTCATGGAAGATAATTCCAATACACGGTCAGATAATTTCAATATACGGTCGAATGTGACTGTAAAGTCAATGTGACGAGCAGATCCCAATTCCCCCAACCCCACCACCACCCAGATAAAAAAAAAAAAAAATTGTAGGACTCAGAAAACTTATTGGGTTTCCGATCTGGGCCCACCAAAATATGTTCGTCCTATTTGACTGGAGGGGCCCACCACTGAATGTATTCTACCGTGCTATTAATTGAACCACTGCAATCCCTAGTTTTGCTCTTGCAGGTTGCAGCGCATTCTATTATATGAAGATTCTTGTTAGAGATTTTCTTTTCTTTTTGTGTTTCTGTCCTCAGTGAAGGTTTTTTTGGTGGTTGTATAAGGCCCTTTATTATTCTTCTTTCTTTAATTTATCCCCTCTTGGTATTTTAGGCATTTCACTGTGACATCATCAAAATCTTTGAACCCGACTCTTTGTCTCATTTCCTCTAAATTCTACGACATGAAAGGTACTCTATGATAATGGCTGTAAGAGCTGAAATGAATGACTTATTGCTTTTGTCTTCTTGTAAATAGAGGCAACCTAATAATAAATTCTACCATTAAGGAGCTCAAAACTATTTAATTCTTCCAGTCATTCAATTCATCCATCTGTTATCAAACAGCCCCACTGGATTTCTCAAGACTATCCTTAATTCCATGTGATGTGGCCAAAAGATGGGAAATAATCACTCCAACTTCACAAGAAAAAGATCCTCTTCACCATTTATTCTGATCACTGTTCCCAAATGCTTAATTATTAAAATAAACTGGCAGTGCCCAAATCAATCTCCAGCCCTCCCAGGTCTCAAACAACCATTAAAGAGTAAAACAGAAGCAAATTATTTAGTACAATGGAAATAAAAGACCAAGATATTGCCAGCCACAAACCAACAAGGTTTTTTCTTAAAAAAAAAAAGAAAAAGAAAAAAAAAAAACAGAACCAATCAAAATACATCACTCAATAAGCAGTATAATTTCCTCAAGGACACGGAAATTTCTTTGTTAAAATAAAACATGGTTTTTGAATAAAATTTCTTTGTTTGGTCTTGAGAAGTAATTTGGAATTCGCATTATTCCAATTAGCTTCTTATCACTCAACGCGGTGTGCTGTGGAAAAGTCAGTTTCCCGCCTCAGTCCTCTTATCCTCTATATATTTTCTTTTGTTGTTTGTTCATTGTCTAATCAACTTCTGTTTGCTCTTTCTCTATGTTCATCATGGGTTCTCCGGCATCCACTGAACCTTCTCTTTCTCTCTTTTTCTCCACATTGATAATTCTGGCTTTGATCTTGAATCCTGCATTTGCTTCAAGAGATTGTAATTTTCCGGCGATCTTCAACTTCGGTGACTCAAATTCTGACACTGGTGGCTTGTCTGCTTCGTACTATCCCACACAACCACCCAATGGGGAGACCTTCTTCCACATGCCGGCTGGAAGATATTCTGATGGGCGGCTAACCATCGATTTCATGGGTACTGGCTCTTCCTCATCCAACTGTGATACTGTTGTCATTCTTCCATGGTTTTCATCATTTTATTATACTTGTTTGTTATACTGTTCTGTGTTCAGTCTCTGAAATTTTAGCACAAGAGTGAGTGAATTCATGCAGATATTTGCCACATGGAAGAAGGATGAGAACTGAGAAAGTGAGAAGGACCAAATGCTTTGCAGGGAGGGATTTTGGGTCGGGCTGGGTGGGGTTGCGCCAGCCTGAACCTTACCCGAAGAGCAGAATACTTATATTAATCTCTGATGACTGGCCTGAGCTGAGGCCAGTTGAATCGGGTTTGGGTTTAGATAAAGTTGGGTATTGTAGGATTGTCAAATCTCGCCCAAACCTAGTCCAGCAGTAGCCAAATATACACGTGGCTATGCCCTCTAGGGAAAAATTCCACCTCTATTGCACCCATTTCGTTTCACTTCTGCATTAGTATTGAAATGTAATGGAAAGTGCAAGAGTTCTTTTGGAATAGAACTTGAAACTGACCTTATTTTCAGATTTTGTTTACAAAGACCAATCGATCGATCCATGATGGTGAACTGGGTCTTCATCTTTATGTTTGAACTTTTTTTTTTGGCAACTTTGTTGAACCTGGGACTAGGCCACTTGGGTTTGGTAGGACCTCTCTTAATGATCAAACCCGGATCCATCTCAGATGAAAACAGTTGGGGTGATTTGGGTTCAAAATGAAATATATAGAATCGTTTTTTTTTTTTTTTACTATTTTCTTATGAGCAAAGTATTATCTAGAACTTGGAGGAAGTAATATCAAAGCTTATCTAACGTAGAAAAAGAAAAAAGAGGATCTTCTTTTACATACTGAAAAATTGTGGGTCATCTCTTTTGTGATGTTAATAGAAAACACATTAGGATATTCAGCTTAACATTATCATGTCTCAATAGATTTTTCTCTTTTCCACTAAAGCTTTAAGATTCACTATTATTGACAATATTCAACAACACATATTTTCCAGCGCAGAGCCTTGGATTGCCCTACCTAAGTGCTTATCTTAATTCCCTGGAATCTAATTTCACCCATGGCGCCAATTTCGCCACAGCAGCATCGCCGATTCGACCGGTGAAAAGAGGTCTAAGTGAGGGTGGATTTAGTCCATTTTACTTATTGGTGCAATACTGGCAATTCATGCAATTCAAATCTAGATCCCAGTTGATCAAGAAAAGAGGTTACTTTCTGAACGTCTTTTAGTAAAATTACCTTAATTGGTACCTGCGACTGAAATGCAACTCATCCTTTGATGGGATTCTGATTCATTGTAGGTGGAGTCTTTGCAAGTTTGATGCCCAAGGAAGAATATTTTTCTCAAGCTCTGTATACATTTGATATTGGTCAGAATGACTTGGGAGCAGGTTTTTTTGGTAACCAATCTGTTCAAGAAGTTAATGCCTCAGTCCCTGACATAGTCAGCAACTTCAGCAGGGATGTTAAGGTATGAATAACAATGTCCATTTACCATATTACAGTCATTCTGCCCTAAATGCTCTTCCTACTCTTTCCATCATCACTGCTAACCATGTCAGGGCTTGTGATTATGCAGTTAATTTATGACCTTGGAGCTAGATCATTCTGGATCCACAACACTGGTCCCATTGGTTGCCTTCCATACATTTTGGTTAATATGCCTATAACAGCTTCTCAGATAGACAAGGCCGGTTGCGCCGCTCCTTACAATGATGTTGCACAGTATTTCAATAAGAAGTTGAAGGAGGCTGTGGTTCAGCTCAGAAAGGACCTTCCCTTGGCTGCATTCACATATGTAGATGTTTATTCGGTGAAGTACCTTCTCATTAGCCAAGCTGAGAAGTATGGTAAGTCTTCTGAGATTTTCCAATTCATCCGGCATTAATGTTCACATGTGGGCAACTCTGTTATAGTTGCTCTCTTCTCTAAGCCTCTAACCAATTCTGTATAAACTATACATGCAGGTTTTGAGCACCCACTTGTAGCTTGTTGTGGCTATGGAGGCAAGTATAACTACAGTCCTACTGCAGGATGTGGAGATACAATCACTGTCAATGGCACCCGACTATTTGTTGGATCCTGCAAGCGCCCTTCTGTTCGAGTAATTTGGGATGGAATACATTACACCGAGGCAGCTAACAGATGGGTTTTTGACAGGATTGTCGATGGCAAATACTCGGATCCACCTCTTCCTTTGAGAATGGCATGCCACAAGAAAGCCATGTAAATTGAGCATGCATGCTCAAACATGAATCAGATATATGTATGCCTAACATACTTATAAGCTGTAGTGAGAATAAAAATGGAGTTCCTTTTATTATCATGTATAATTGTGACTCTGTGGCCACAGCTTAGTTCGTTGATTATGATTATTTCACAAGCATGTTAGCAGATAGAAATACATTCTTCTTCCTCCATGGTTGTATTGATGTGTGGATGAGTGCTTTGATTAAATGCAGTGAGAGTCAATTCAGAAATGGCTAAATCTTGAGTCTGGTTACTCAGGATCCATTAGTGGGTCTAAGTCCTCATAACTTGCCATGTATCCCAGTTTTTCATGCATGATGCCCTCCTTCCTCCAAAACACTTCAGTGTTATTACTTGGGCGAAAAATCTGGGAGCAGAAGATTTTATTCCTATCAAGGCAAAACAGAATCTGTATTATCATCATCTGGGCCTACCCCAAGTTGTAGTTTGGACCCGATCAAATGTTTGGTCCTGATTCTCAATGCATAGGACAAAAGACAAGTTATGAGAATATCCCTCCCCCTTCTAATCTTTCTATTGGTCCTTTGTCCCCATACTCAGGTTTCTCCTTCTCCCAGATCTACAAAAGCTTGTGTCAGGGGAAGAAGACCAGTAACTGATCTGGGGCTCCCCATATCTTGTCGTTTGTCCTCCATTCAGAGGGTCTGGTCTCATCAAACCTCTACTTTGTTAGCAGCTCTGTATATCCATTGTGTTAATACATGGAAGGCTGCAAGAAGTACTTGACTACTCTTGAAATTCTGAGATGGCCTAAAGTTATCTCATCATTCTATTTTTGGCTGGACACCTCTAAATGTGGGACCTATCCAATGTAGATCTTTATCCACTGAATATGCAACAGGTGGTGAGATATGACATACGAGGGTCTTTCCTTTTTTTTTCTACTGATGTAAATTCTCGAAATTCCGGTTCACTTTTGCTTGGGGTTTTACTTTGCTTTGCTTCAAGTTATATTTTACTTCATTTACAACGCAAACAAATGAGAGTAAAATTTAAAACAAAAATAAATCAGGATTTGCATTCCATTCACATACACTCCCATATTTCTGCACCAATGCAAATGAAATTGCATTTCAAACAAACTAGGCCTATAGGACAGTTCATATTAAGATTGTTTCTATGTCACAGAAAATGCTTATTTTTCTTTGATAAAGGCTTTTCCGAATCCAAATTTGGTGATCAGGATAGGATCAATTAGTTTTTTTTTCGTATTAACCATTGCCCGACACCCCCGTAGGGGTTCTTATTCATCTAAGTAAACAGTACAACATTACAACAACAGTTCTTTTCTTTCACAATAGCGGACCAGTGTTATCAAACCATCTTTGACCTATATGATTGAACCGGTGACAATCCAGACAGCTGACTGCCTCTGGTTTTAGACAGTTTTGATCATTTCGCCAGATGAACTACTCGGTCGAACCATTAAACTTACCATCTCGGCAACTTTCTCGGTCGACATTCAGGTTCCATCAACCAATTTCTTCTTCCAATTTATCAATGGAGTTGGATCGGGTGTTGGAAGTGGGAACACAACCGCTACTTGTCTTCAGAATCCCTCGTAACTTTCCATGTCGCAGATATTCAGATAGGTCCTACATAAAGTGGGGCTTACCAAAAAAAATGTCTGATCAGATATGTCTTTAGACCCACCTGATTTCAGTTTAAATGGATTATCTTACCAACGCCCATGGTTTGTTTCAAAATCAGATCTTTCGCTCTGTTTCAAGGTGGAACCCAAATTTGGCCAAACCCAAACCAGTCCTATTTCTTATGCCATTGGCTCATGGCCTATACAACCCAAATCTGTATTTTCTGAGGCGGTTAGTAGAGGTGGATTCCAGCCAAAACTGTATAAGATTTGAGCTTGAGCTCAGTTCGGTTCAAAGCTCGCAAGTTTGAGTTGAGCTTGAGTAGAAGCCAAGTATTTAAAAAAAAAATAAAAATTATACATATAAAAATAATTTTTATTTTATATTTTACATACAAAAAATTAAAAATTATAAAATTTATTTATTATTATATATATAAAATAAAAAATATATACATATAAAAATGTTTTTTATTTTACATACAAAAAATAAAAAATATTATTATATATAATAAAAATTATTTATATATTTATATGTATGTGTGTATATATAATAAAAAATATTTATTATTATATCAACCTGTTTGTGAGCCTCACAAGTCGAGCTTCATTGGGCTCGAGCTCAACTTGATTAACAAACGAGCCTATATATCAACCTCAAACTCGACTCAAAATTCAGTTTAAACTGAGCTGAACCAAACTTTTCACAAATCGAATTCAAATAGCTTGTAAAAAGCTCAATTCATAGCCATCCCTAACGGCTAGTACAAAGGCAAAATCCACTGCTTTCCTCCACCATGACCAATTGAGAGTGATATATATTCTCAACTGGTTGAATGTTAACTGTGAGATGTTGAGGACAGGGACGTTTATATATCAGGCCCAGCCCAACTAGTGTCTACAATAAAGCCTAATATATATATATATATATATATATATAGTGTTACTAATTGCCTTTGCAAAATTGCAACTGTAAGTTACGATTGCCCTTGCTATATAAAAAAGTAGTAAGTTACGATTTTCGTTGGTTTACATTTATCAAATTAATTAATTAAGATAAGAATGTAGAATTAATTTGAAATGAGGGCACTATGGGTAATACCAATAGGCAATGGTAGGAGTTTTGATACACAGTTTGATCCATGGATTTCGGGTTTTTCAAATTCAGTAATGGATGAGATGCAGCTTCCAAATATCCAATGTACCAGGGCCACTCACCTAATAGATACTCATACTCACAAATGGAGGGATGATGTATCGGAATGATATTATACAGCGGCCGAAATCAATGCTATTAAACATATTTTGCTTTTCAGAAGATATACTGCATGGAGAGGATTGTTTAGTTTGGAACAAGGTTCTAAATATAGATATACTCAATACGTCATTACTTTTTTTGTTCAGAGGGACGGTTTAAGATTCCTCCACCCTTTGAACCAGTCAAAACCCCGATACACTATTTATAGGGACATATTATTGAGATATTTTCAATAATAGACGTATTGAGCGATATGGGCCAATACATATCGAATTTTTAAACCTGGTTTAGACCAAAATTTCCTCGAGAGATTTAACCACATCTGTAGCTTAGAGCGTTACATCTTCGTTCTCTACTACTCGTCCTGCATTTATTAATTAATATTACTTGGCGTACCAAAAATTTGCCACCTGGTATACATTTATTGATTTAGCGTGGGATTCATAACCTATTCACGCCACGTGCAATGTGGTTTGATTCTTTTACTGGTTTTGCCACCTGGTATACATTTATTTGCTAAATGTGTAGTATCATTTTATATATTGCAGATATGAAAATCCATGTGCAAAAGCTGCAATTAGGATGATTTATCATTAATTGGGCCCATGCTTAAATTGAGGAGCAAAACTCTAAATCATGATCGTAATAGCTGTTAAATTGGGCCCATGTGCAAAAGCTGCACTGGACAATTAGAAGCTCTGGCCTTCCTTGAACCATTAAAATTCATCTTAGAGATTGGGATGAATATGGTACTAACTGAGGAGGATGCACTTCAGATTATTAATGTTTTGTTGGAGATTGAAAAATCTCCTCCTTGATTGATGATTGCAGAGCTTACTTGAATCACACCTCTCTTTGCTCAATGTCTACTAATTCTGCTGCCCATTGGCCATTGTATAGCTTTATCTGTATCTCAAACTCAGACCTGGACTATTTGTCCTGCCTCTTGTATTGAGAAAGACCTAACCAGAGCATATGATTAATGAATTTTCTTGTCATACTCATAAATAATAAATATATTATCAACTTAACTAGCTCTATCTATGGGTGTCGATTGGATTAGGTTTGGTCTAATCTGGTCCAGTTTAATGAGAATCCATTATAAATGGGTCAGGTTCAATCTAATTATTCATAAACCATTTTGGACCGGTCCAATTCAATGTTCAGACTATCAATTTGTTCAAATTCATTTTAATTTAGATTGATTTCAACCAAATCTGGTCAATTGACACCTATATTCTTATCTTATATCAATGAATTAGATATTGACACAATCCAACCAAATCCAATATATATTTATTATAGACAGACCAGGTCCAGTCTAATATAATACATACTTTAGACCAGATTGGTTCAATCCACTATATCTTTTTGGTCCGTCCAATCCGTTCAAATTGATTTTGGGCTTCAATCCAAAACCGATCCATTGACACCCCTAGCTCTATCATAAATAGGAATAACTGTCAACCTAACTGTTTTTGTACGGAATAAAAAATGATTCTATTATTTTTCCATAGCAATACAGCACGTAAGTAAATAGATCAAAATAGGACAGTTATGCAAAATATGTGAATAATCAGGAAAATTTTTATGGGAAAATAGGATATAAAATTGTTCCTACTTTCCCAAAATTTCAAGTTTCCAACATCTTGGTGTTCATAATAACATGATTCAGTCAAACTTGATCAAATTTGGCCAATCCTGGTGCAATTAAGTCTTAACGAAGGTTTTTAAAATCAGATCGGACAGGAACTGTTCTGGGACCAGTTCCCAGGTTGAACGATCCGACCGTCTGATTCAAATAGATGGCCTGTCCTGACTTAAAAAAAAAAACTGCCAAAACCATTGTCTGAATTGACAATTCAACCACTCAGGTCAATGGATTATTGACCAAATCAACGGTTTTTGGCCAAAAACAGTTTTAGGATGAAATGAAACTGATTTCCTTATCGATTCCCAGTTCTTCTGGTCCATCCGTCAAATACAGTCCAGTTTTCGAAACCATGATCTGAATCAGACCTTGTCCTGAGTCTTTGTTGCGTTTTGACCTTCATGGTTAAGTATGACTAATGTTTAGGTTGATAAATTCTGGATCTAAAGGCTGGCAAAGAGTTGGACAGTAATGGGCTGGGCATAAACTGTGGCTCATCATCCAATAGGCTCATTAGCTCCTAGAGAACCCTACGAGAAGACAGGTTTCAAAGAGTCCCATGTTTGCTTATATGCACATGTCTAAGATGACAATATTTGTATGGTAGAGTTAGGTGCCTCTGCTTCCATACTAGAAATGACCATCAC